TTTAGCGTAAATTCCATTGCAAAATGTCACATCGTAACATTGCCATGTCCTAAGTGTTTGCTCTTCAACGCCATTAAGTACAAGGAATATTCGTGTCTTGGAAATTCTGCATTCCCGATCTGATCTGAGTGTGCGAATAGCTTGTATCGGAAAGGGCTGTCACATACTCCAAAAGAGATCTTTTGTTCTCTTTCAAAATTTGTTGTGCATACTGGAGGGATTTACACATTAGTTAAAATAAAAGTATTCTTAAACAAATAAAACACAAAACAGTAATCATGAGGAGAAACTACAGCAAGAAAACACAACAAAAAAGTAAAATCAGTAATACGAACATATGAAAAAATGTATAATTTAAATGAAGACTGCACGTTGTTTAGTGTTGGAGAATGCTGTTTGATGTGGAAGGTTTCTTTAATCAATAATTCCAGATCAGTATTAGACTTGCAGAGGATAGAAAATTTAATATACTATCAAATTTGCTATTTGTTTAATTATTGTTAAACTTCTAATATGTTTTGTGTATCTTCACGAAATTTTACAAGCCTTCAGTAATCATTAAGTCATTTGTAGACAAAAAAAATCAGAATTTTCAACTCTCTCTACATGGGCTCAGTCGAATTGACCAACCATGTGACCATTTTGTACTCATCTTAAGTCATTATAGTTTTGATACTACTAACTTTTAATATAGTATATGTAGCTTCAGAAAGTTTGGTAGACTTTAAGTAAACATTACAAGTTTTTTTAATAAACTGAAAACAGATTTGTCCGTGAATATATTGAGTCTTTATACTAATTACCCCGAGTGCAAGGTAGTTTCATGTTCAGATTATAAATACTTTTCTTTATCTCAAAAAATCTCAAATTTCATTTGAATAATCTCTAAAACCTCCTAAATACATTTCAAATGTTTGTTGTCAGTAAAACTTTATATTACATCTACTATTTTTTCTACCCTAACTCTATATAAGATTTGTCAATTTGACCAACCTTGTGACAATCCATCCAAAATAAAAAGAAAGAATATATATATCAAAATTACCCTTTTTTACTTTATAGAATAACTTCAATACAAAACTACATATGTTTATCCAAGTAGCTTTAAACTCTTAACAGTATACATCTATTTATACTTATATTTTATTGTTTTATTGCCCTTTGAACCATGTTTAACTCCTATTCAAGCCATTATACGTTGTTAATTGCTTGGGGAAGGTGGAGCTCATGTTACAGTATCGAATTACATTACTCAGGAGCTACTCTGAGCTGCTCATGTGCATAATGCATGAAAAAGTTTTATTATATTATTATCAGTATTTGTTTTACTTAATCTAACCTGAACTAACCTAAAGAGATTCCCATTTTTATATTTTAGTTAATTTTATAATAATAAATAAAGAATGCACGTGAAAAAAAAGAAATAAAGTACTTACCTGAATCTTTTTATTTGCTGTTGACTATCAATGACACTTAACTACTTTTTTATACCAATGGTAGTATTGCACTTAATAATTTTTATTTAATTAAATAATACACATATAATAATAATAATGTGCAAAAAAGCAGACAATGTCCCATAATGATCACAATTGTTCTGGCCTTCCTATTATGCAGCAAGAGCCCTTACAAATTCAAAGCTAGTTGATATGTTCTCGTAGGAACGAAGTTTGTACTAAAACAGAGAAATTGACAATTCTCTGTTTAGAGAACAACGTAATGTAATACATCATTTGATAGATGAAAACCTTGGAGTTTTATTGGTTATAAATAATATAGAATTAAACATAAGAGAGAACTATTAACAAATCCTAAAAGAGAAGATGTGACAGATGGCTCTTTAACCAAACAAGACTGAAGGCTATAAAAATTATGCTTATTCTGAGCGATGACGATTTTGTAGTGAGTAATTTATGTTAAATTTCATACTTATTGGAGTGGTGGTGAATAAATTAAAGAAGAGATGCCTAAATATAAAATGTCACAATTCTCATCCTACGGGAAATTCAGGATTTTTTAAAATATTTCCTTATACAATTAAGAACTTAGAAGAAATGTGAATACTATCAACATTGGGATTATTGGTTACATTTTTATGCCAAATTTATTTGTATAGAGTAAGAAAGTAGTTTAATTAAATTTTTAAAACCTTGTGACACATGCAGACAAAGATGCCCATAGTGAACGTATTAACAAGTTGTAAGAAATTCTATTATTTCCATTTTAAAATATTTTACTTCTGCACTTTCTGAAATTATTTATTACTGCCAATTTTCATTGTTTCTATTATACTTCTGTTGTTAAATATTTCTTTAAATGGCAACAAGTAAACCTGAAACTTTAAAGAAACTTCTAACCTGTTACAGAATGGTAAAAAGAGTTAATATCAAACACTGATTACTTATAAGCTCATGATCAATATTTCTACAAGTAATACTTCATATAACCTTGTCTATTACCATATGAAATATAATTTATGATGTATCAAACATGACCTTTGTGGTGAAAATATAGAGAAACATATGCAACTACTGTACTTGATGTGTGCCTAGTCAAAAAAACCTTATATATCATCTATTTCTGAAAAGTGTTAAGCCTTATAATGTACACAGCTTGCCTACTGAAGAGAGGGTAGAATGTGTAAATCTGCTTTTCTTGATATTTATAACCTGAAATACTGAAGTATACAGCTTTAATGTGTATGAAGTATTTAATGAATTAATATATCCATGGTGCACATCTGTTCCAGCTAACATTCATGGTCAACATATGTAACTTTTTGGAACATTAATATATAGTTTTGCTGGGACCGACCTCGTATCCATTTTGTGCTTGTTATAGTTTTCATGCTATAACTTTTAAATTGGTTAGCGAATGTTAACGAAATTTGGCTAGATTATCAGTAAACATTACAATGCTTT